CGGGGTTGAAGGAAGAGGGTGGGATTCAAACAAACGGGCGAACTTTTGGAAATTAATCATTAAGGACAACTGCGTAATTGTACATTCCAAATCACTCACACCCAAGTTCCTAGGGACTTCAGATTTGTTTTGTTATTTCAAGGGATCTTTTAGTAGTAAAATGTCTTCTTTAGCACTCTATAGTAATTGCCCCATATTATAATGAAGATGGTAGTGCATGGTTGAGGTCTTGGCAGGACTGGTCAACTCTTTTTATATCTTCTCTGTTTTTTTTTTTTGCTCATTTATTCATATCAAAGAGGTTAAGACAGCTCTTAAAAAAATAGACAATGGTAAAGTCGTTATACTTGACAGTATTCCCATGAAAGTCTGAAAATGTGCAAGCGGAAGGGTGAACTATGGCTAACTGAGTTTTTTTTTAATAAAATTTCACCTCCAAGACTATGCCAAATATATGGAGAAAAAAGCACTTTAGTTTCTATTTGTAAGAATAAAGAAAATATTCAAAACTATTTAAGTTATAAATGACTAAAACTTATGAGCCATACAATGAAGTTGTAGGAAAAAAATAATTGAACATAGGTTGAGGTTGAAGACTCCCATTTCTGAGAACCAATTTGAATTTATGCCAGGGAGGTCTACAACAAAGGCAATTTATTTACTAAAGGGGTTAATGGAAATATATAGGAGTAAAGGAAGGGATTTACATATGGTTTTTATTAACTTGTAAAAAGCTTATGATCATGTGCTAAGAGAAGTACTTTAGAAAACTTTGGAAAAATAAAATGTGCAGGTTGCATATATTAAAGCCATACAAGATATGTACAAGGGGATAGCTACTAGTATAAGAACATCTGAAGGTGAAATAAAGGACTTTCTTATTAAGATTGACATACACTAGGGATCTTTTTTGAGTCCTTACTTGTTTAATATTGTTATAAATATTTTAACTGAGCTTATTCTAGCTATAAGAAATCCCTAAGTGCATGCTTTTTACGAATGACATAGTGTTCATAGCTAAATCAAGAGAAGAGATTAACTCTATATTGAAGTTATGAAAAAAGACCTTCGAGCCGAAAGGTTTTCACTCAAGTAGGAACAAAACAGAATATATACATTATAATTTTAGTGGGATACAAGTCAATAGTGATTTAGAGGTGAAGATGGAAGATCAAATCATTTTTCAAGTGTCAAAGTTTAAATATCTAAGATTCATTATACACGAGGATGATGAAATGCATATAAATGTTTTTCATAGAATATAAGTTGGGTGGCTAAAATGGAGGAAGGCTACCAGAGTTATTTATGATAAGAAGGTGCCTGAGAAACTTACGGAAAAAAAATTCTATGAGATTGCTATAAGACCATCTATATTGCATGGTAGTAAATGTTGGGCTCTAAAGGGAAAACAAGAGCATAAAGTTGGGGCAGTAAAAATAAGAATGTTGAGATGAATGTGTATTCATATAAGAAAATATAAGATTCAAGATAAAAATATCAGTGCAGCAATAGGTAGGGTGCCTATGGAAGAGAAAACAGTTAAACATCATTTGAGGTGGTTTGGGCATGTGCAGAGAAGGCCATTAAAAGGACTGGTACGCAAGGTAGATCAAACAGTTTGTGGTCTTATAAAAAGAGAGCAGAGGATAACCAAGAAGAATGTTTAATAAGGTCATTAAACGAAACTTTTTGATCAATAATATATCTAAAAATTTAGATGTTAATAAAGCACAATAACATTACGAGATTTATGTAGCTTACCCTGTCTAATGGGACAAAAATTGTCATTCTTGTTATTTACTCATATCCAATTTTTTTCCCCATACATGAAATGACGATAACAAATCGAATTGAAAGTTCTATTTGCTGGTAGAAAAAGTCTGGATGTGTCAGGGAGAACATGATAAGCCTCATCAATTTTAAGAGTAAATTTAATCAATGAATTTCAGTTAGGCTTTATTTGCAGAAAATTTAATTTTTTGGCAACCATAAATTTGACTAGTTAAAAATAAAGAAAATATAAAAGCGCGTAATACGTTTAAGTATGCAACAAGAGTTTTTTTTTTTCCAACTTCCATAAAAATAATTTTTTTTAATTGATTGTAAGGGCATCCAAACTGCCTGTGCTGTTATATTGTCACAGAATTAGAAAGTGCCTAGATTTTTAATTTTCCTTTCAGCTTTCAAGCTAAAGAAGGATTCAGGCATCAAAAAAATTTAAAAGGAAAATATAATCACCACCTCCTTTGTTTACTAAAATTATAGGGACTCAAATAAAAGGGGGAAAAAAAGGTCGCAATTGCTTGAGACCCATCACCCTGCTCCGTTATGCGGGCCCCTGAGGCCACGTAGACAAACCATCGAGGGGCCCACCACGGAATGCCTATTGGGACACGTGTCTGTTTTTGATTTGCTGATAAATCGACTCCTTATTGGACGGACAAAAGTAATCCTACCACTCCACGCCTGAAAACGATGCCGCACCCCAGCGGCCCAGTCTACGTCATCATCTCACGGATCGCATAGATTCTTCCTTGGGAGAGGCAATCACATATGGTAATGCTCCACAGTCAAATAACTCTTATACCGTCGACTTTGCTTATTTATTACAAAGACTTAAATTTCGCCATAAATCTACGGTCAATAAGTTGAATATTGCTTGTCGCCACCGCAGTAGATCCGGAGCTGTGAGAGGACCACTTCAACTGTCGGCTCGGGCTCGGCCACTAATTCATCTCGAAAGACAAGTTCCCCGAGACAGCGACAGGCAACGAAAAGACGAAATCACCCTCGTTTGACTCGACCTGCCAAGATGCACAAGATGGGGCTAGTTTCGGAACTTCATGTTGGTCATTTTCAATTAAAAGTGTAGACAAATGAATGCCCTGACCTGAAAACATGTGAAACTTGTTTTGTACTTTTATTGGCCCACTTGTGTCATTTTCCGTATTTCATGAGCCGCATAATGTTTTGAAGAGGTAATTATGTTTTACTTCATACCGTATTTATATTCAGTAAATTTTAATACTGGTGGGAAGGAAAAAAAAGAATTATTACTGTACGAGTTTTATCAGCACATTTATTAATTATTATTTTATTTTATATATAAAGTAGTTAATTTCCTTAGTAGTATTTTTATATCATAAATTTGTTATTTTAGTGAGGTCAAAAAATTAAAAAGTGCGTATGGATATAAATGAAGGGGCATTAGGCCCTATACGTGTAAATCGTTTTTTCTTTATCGTATGTTATTATTTTTAATCAATACCAGCACTTAACCAAATATACTAAGATTTTCTTAAGAATAAATTTTAAATTGTGAAAATTAAATTTAAAAATAAATATCCACACTAATTATTGTCATTTTGGCCATTTATTTGGAGCAGTTGTTGTTACGTAATAAATATCCCTTCCCTACATTTTCGTCCGATTTTCATCGTCTCGTCTCGTCATGGTCCTGTTCTTCTTCTTCACTTTCAAAGCCTAGCCTTTTTATTCTCTTCATTGCAGACTTTGGATGCCCACGGATACCCTTCGGCGCTTCCTAGATTCGGTAATTATCTGAAAGTTTCGTCTAGATTTATCATAGCCGCGGCGTATCTTCCGATTTGGACAAAATTTTGCATAATTCAACCTTCTTGTGTGTTTTTGCTAGTTATATCCTTGATTATGCTACTGTTATGTATTGAAATTTCGATGATATCGCTTCCTGTTGCTGGTTTCCCCTGTTTTTTGTCCGCTGCTGCTACTATTTTTCATTCCCTGTAATTGGTGTGATGGGGTTTCGAAAGTCAGGGATGCCTTTGAGTTGAGGACCGATTTGCTCTGGATTGAAACTGTTTTGTTACTAGTTGAAATGGTGATAGCTTCAATTAATATTTTTAAGGAGTAGTGGAAGATTTTGGGATTCTGAATGGAAACTTTTGCACTTATTTGGGTTTTTGTTATCATTCCGGTCTAGTAAGAATCTCCCTATGGAAAACTTATCTTGAACGTGATTCTATTTATCATTTGGTTTACTTGAATTGTAAGTGCGTCGCTGAGAATTGGCAATCTATCAAAGGATTACCGTCATTGTTCCTTTTTATTCATATAAATTCCCTATATTTAAATTTTACGTTTTTAAGCTCATCTTCCGAGGGAAAGGGATGTGTGAAATTGTGATTGTGCAGATCCTCTGCATTCTTACATGGAAGAGGCTAATGCTCTGCAATATATCATATTTAGTCTCTTAAGCATTTAATGTTGAGTTGAATATTCTGATCTCGATAAGAATTCCATCCTAGCTCTAGTCTTGAATTGCTTCATGAGCCCAAATTTCATGCAGAAGCAACTTGACATTTCTTTGGCGGGATTTTGGTTGGAGATGACGGGGAAAGGAGATTTTATGAAGGGATGATGAAAATATCGGAGTCCTAAAGCCTTTAGCATTCTCTGGTGTTTTTGAAAAATCGATTTCATTTTAGTTTATGCTCTGAAAGCACTTTTTGACTTGAATTCGATTTTTGAGGGAGGGCGTGGATCATCCCACTTCGATTAAGATAGTCAAGGTCAGAGAGCTTCTCCGGTTGCTTTACTATTAAACTTATGTTTTACAATCTTTCCTCTTCTCTGCCATTTTCATATTTCCATCCCTGTCTCCAGGCTGATGTTCTTTTCCTTACGCGCTTTCAACTTTTCTTGAACATGTATCTCCATTTTTTTTTTGGTTCAGGATTCGTGAAGAAGGAACTCCTTAAATCAGCGTTATAAAATCTCACTACAGGTTTCTTTCCAATGGCTGTTATAAAATATTTTGGTAGCATTGAGTGACGTCATTGAAAAAATCATGCAACTTTGTCCGTGATTATAGTAAATATGGACAGATCAGATACCTCGGGCTTTGTGAGTGGTGGATGTTGTACAATGGAATTTCTTTGCCACCATTGTAGATCTTATGGCTCTGTATGGTGAAGTTTATAGCGCCTTTAACCTATTGTAGTGTAGGCGCATGACATAGAATGGATCTAAGCCAGGAAACTATACTGTATTCCCATGATGCTGAGCACAAGATAAAAGATGACATAGGTGATACTACATTATCGTTGAATGGGATTGGCTTTGGGAAAGCCAATACAACCCGTTATAACAGTAGAAAAAACAGTGGTGGATTGAATTTCTTCAACTCTTCTGATGATCAATGCAGGTTGGTTCTGGGACTGGGCCGGCCTCCAAGGGCATATGATAATGAATTCTTCAATCTTGGGTCTAAAAAGAGGAAGGAAAGAGACAGCGCGTTTCCACAGTGCATGCAATCTGACAGTGATTCAATCCTTCAACTTGGTCTTTCTGGAGGAACTTATGAGGCATCATGTATCCTGGACTGTTCAGGTTCATCTGAGAATGAAGCAAATTTGTCCTGTCTTTCAAGCCAAACATCTGCTGAAAATAGCTATCCAAAGCTTCCTGTTGTTGATGAGGGTTCCACCTCGGCAAAGAAATCAGGTAGCTACATGGGTTCACTTCTACTGGCTCCAAAAACAGATACTGCTAAAAGTTTATTGCTGACACAAGAACCATCTGATGCTAAAAATTGCTCACTTGGCCCGTCATTATCAGAGAATCGAACGAGCAACTTCAAGAGATGTAATTTTCTTGGATGTATGAAAGGCGCTCGAGGTGCTTCGGGATTTTGCATAGGACACGGGGGAGGACAGCGATGTCAGAAGCCAGGCTGCGATAACGGTGCTGAGAGCCGCACGGTTTATTGCAAGGCTCATGGTGGAGGGAGAAGATGCCAACATCTGGGCTGCACTAAAAGTGCTGAGGGGAAAACAGATCACTGCATAGCACATGGTGGGGGCAGGAGATGTGAACATCCAGGCGGATGCACCAAGGCTGCAAGAGGCAAGTCAGGACTCTGCATAAGACATGGAGGAGGCAAGAGATGTAAGATCGAAGGGTGCACTAGAAGTGCTGAGGGGAAGGCGGGGTTGTGCATCTCTCATGGGGGTGGGCGCCGGTGTCAGTACCAAGGATGCACAAAAGGTTCCCAAGGAAGCACCACGCTCTGTAAGGCACATGGTGGTGGAAAGCGTTGCTCATTTGCAGGTGCCATTTTTCTTTAAGAAAAATCAGTTATCACTTATTTAGCTATATCTCCCTGGTTTATATTTTTATAAAGAAGACAAACATGTTCTTTTTCCAAGCATTGATATAATTTTTTCATTTAAGTTTATTCACTCAATTGAAGATTTTCTAATATGGTTCGTTAAGGAAACAAATGCTGAGATGCACGAAGTTTCAGAGCTTAGGTCATCTGCAGAGAATTTGGTTGATATTCTAATTTGGACCATAAATTCCTTTTACATTTTAAAATCTGTGCAAGTAATCCCGTTAGTAAATATGTAGTTTATTGATGAGATAAAGTTCTTTCTAAATTTTATTTTTTTTACTGATAATCTTTTAATATGTCAAATTTCCTTTCCTTTTTATTTTGCGGTAGATTGTATGTCATGGTTCTGTGAGTAAAATAATTGACAAATGATTTGGGGTTATTTACACGATCTTGAGTCTTGGGCTGGAAGGGGAGGAAGCAAAGGTCCATTGTCAAGTGTTAAATGCTAGAAGAGTTAGCTGTATTTGCACAAAGTGTAGGTGTTTGTGCATTTTAGCCTTACATATCGAAGTCTTATCTTGACTCTTTTTTCATATCAAAATATTTTAGATTTTGTTGGGTTGTATTATTAAATGTCATGGTCGTTGAGATCACTTAATAGAATGGAGAGCAAGAGAATAATGAACAATGAGTTAAAAGTTAACTATGGGTTCTCAACCAAAACTCATAATACTTCAGATTTTATTTTTGACCTTGCCTATTTAAACGTTAACTTAAATACAACAAGTCTTATTCCATTAACTGGGTTGACTACATGGGTTGCACAATGCTATTGTACTCTATCAACAATCAAATTTTTAGATAAATTGTTAATCAAAATATCCCATTCAATAACTTTATTGAGGGTTTTGTTTGGTCTTATATCCTTCTTCACAAGGCTCAAAATTGCCTGTTCCACCTGCTCTTCCATCGGCCTGTGTACAATTTAAATGTTTGTAAATTACTGGATCATAATGTAGATAAGTTGATTAGATGATTATGAATCACAGTTGCTGCCACCGTCTACAGGTTGCACCAAAGGGGCTGAGGGGAGCACACCACTATGCAAGGCACATGGAGGAGGAAAGCGCTGCCTCTTCAATGGAGGTGGTATATGCCCCAAGAGTGTCCATGGAGGTACCAACTTTTGTGTTGCCCATGGCGGTGGGAAGAGGTGTGCTGTGCCTGGCTGTACCAGGAGTGCCCGTGGCCGAACTGATTGTTGTGTTAGGCATGGCGGGGGTAAGCGATGCAAGCTTGCAGGTTGTGGGAAGAGTGCTCAGGGAAGCACAGATTTCTGCAAGGCCCATGGTGGTGGAAAGAGATGTGTCTGGGGGGATGGTAAGTGTGAGAAATTCGCAAGGGGTAAGAGTGGCCTCTGTGCTGCTCACAGTAACTTGATGATGCAGGGGAGGGAAATCAACAAAGGAAGTCTGTTCAATTCAAGACTCTTTCATGGTCTTGTACCTTCTGCTTCCATCGCTCGTAGTGGTTCTGAGAACAACAATTCCTCCTCGGGGGTCACTGTTGTTTCTGAGCACAACGATTCTACGAAAGAGCCAGAAAAACTGCAGTATCTTATACCAGAGGAAGTGTTGGTTCCGCTCTCATTGAAGTCATCATCTTCTCTTCCGCTGTTCTTGGCTACCGAGAAGCCAAAGGAAGGTAGAAACAAGGATAATTTGGAGAAAGACATTAATTTTGATATCCCAGAAGGCAGGGTTCATGGTGGTGACTTGATGTTACATCTTGGTGGAAATTTCAAGAATGCAGCCACTGTAATCTGGAGGGACCCAGTTGGCTCAAGCGTGTAAATTCATTTTAGGAATTAGGAACATGTTTATGATCAAATTGTGAATAAGGTTTCTGCTGCTTGTCCAGTATCTCATGTAAGTATAGTGTTGATTGGTGGGTTGCTAGGTTATTGTTTGTGGTTTGATCTATATCTTCCATTCTTGAATAAGGTCGTGTCAAACAGCAGCACAATGTTGAGATACTTGGCTAAACTAATTAGCCAAGTTAGTTGACACATTAAAAGGGATGGTCCCTTTTAATAAAAAACTGTACCTTAAATTTATCAATGTGATGTATAAGCATCATTCTGTTCGTTCTAGCTATATGTGCACACTTCTGCAATATCAACATGCCTCTTGTACGACTCATTTTTCTGGAGAGGGCAAATTGAAGTCTTCTACGAAGTCTGATGGCTTGTGTCTTCCAAAGACCTGGTATTTATAATTAGGTGTTTTTGAGAAACAGAGCTTTGTCTATGGTAGATATTACTCTTCAATTTGCTTTCATGAAAGCAGGCTCAATGTTCACTAAAGATTTTAAGATATTTTTTTTCTTTTAGTGATGAAACAATTTTCACCTTTAGGTAATTGCTGTTAATTTATTATGATTATCGTCATCTACCATGAAGCGACATCGTTATCAAAGTCCACTGAGACTTCAAGTCAGCAAGTCTTCTTCTAAAATTCAGTAATAGTACAAGGTAAAAATTAATCACTAATTATTATAAGAATATAATAGATATTTAACCTTTACTTATTTTACTATTTAACATAGATATATTTAAAATATTTTGAATTAAAAATTCTTATTTTTTAAGTATAAATCTAATCAAATTTCTCTAACCATTATTAAATTATTAAAATCTAACTATATCATACACTCTATACACAGAAAAATTATTTGTAAAAAAATAAACAATACTCAAACAAAATTAGTTCTGTGAAGAAACTACCAAACAAAAATTTTGATTAACCAAATTCAATTTTTATCAAAATATAATTTTTAAAGAGCACATTCATTCTTGAATCAAATGATAAAAACTGAACAAAGAAAAGGAGCACATTCATTCAAAATACCATCTCTTTAAAGTCCAATTCAAACGCCAATAATCAATAGTCCCAAGAAAAAAAAGTATTTGATTTTTCATTATTTTTAAAGGCTATATTTAGGCTTTAAAACCATGCTTGATTATTAGAGACTTTTGTTTTTCTTTAATATTTACAACAAAAGAATCTTGTTGAAGATTTGGTAATAGTGCGCATCTTTATCATGTCATTAAATTTTAGTAATTTAAAGAATAGAAGATTGGTAAAAAAACACTTATACTTACTTTCGAATTTAATTATTCTCATTAACTAGTTTACTAAATCTATAAGTAATGGTTATATGTATTATAGTTCGAGTTTAAAATATTAATATTAAAATATAAAATCTAAAAGGAAGAATTTCAGTAAATCCTTTCAATAGCTAATTAATATCAATCAACCCTCAAAAGATTCCAAAATTTCAGTTCTTCCCAAGACCAAAATGAAATTAAAATTTAAGGATAAAAAGATAATAATACACCTGATTATTATTTTTGTTTTAAAAAATAGATTAATTGTCACTCAAGCTTCGGTGGCCAACAGATTGGAACTCCGACCTTTGGCAGCCGAACCTTCGACCTCTAGTGGTTGGTAGTTCTGGTCGCGAGAGGATTTTGTCTTTTAAATAAGGCGGTCAAGGGAGGATTTAATATGATATTATACGAACAATTGTAAATGACAATCCTCTATATTAAGAAAACACGAACAAAATTACGTCCATATGAGCAAAATTGTGAATCTTCACCTCAATCTTTTCTCTTAGGTGCAATTTTGCCCTTATTTTTTTAGTAGTGCAATTTTGACTTTAATCTTTTTGTGTGTGCAATTTTACCCCTCAATGTCAAAATTGCACCCAAAGATCTAAGATAAAATAGCACTCGTGAAAAAAAATTAGGGACAAACTATACCTAAGAAAAAAGATCAGGGACAAAATTGCACCACTAAAAGATTAAGGACAAAATTATACCAGAAAAATAAGATCAAAGTCAAAGTTGCATCTTAACCCTTGTTAATATTGTGGAAAGAACTAAATTAAATGACTCAGCTCTAAAAAGTTAGGTCCATTTTTTTTTAATGATACATTTTATCGTTTTAAGTTTCGTTTGGAAGAATTACTATTTCCATCCTTGTAAAGAGGTGTTTTCCAATTAAGTAATATAGCATTATATATCTGAGAATGATGAAAATATCTATCTTTTCTGGTATTGTTCGCCAGTTGGATCTCTTCGCTCTGTTGATGAAAAATTAGTATTAATAAATGCTACAAAACAAGAAAAATAATATTATTGAAGTACTTATTATCTACTACCTCTTGTTTTCAATATAAGAGCTAATTTGACATTTAATTTGGTTATAAATATAAGAGCTCATTCCACTCCGTTTCTTATATTTATTTATTTATTCCTCAAAATAGTCTTTGTAGTAATTATACATATTAAGATTTCATCAAATGACAGTTCTAACTAATATACATAAACATAATTAGTAAGGGTATTTAGAAAAATCAACATTAATTTACTTAAACTAATAAATTAGTTCTTATATTAAAAAGTGGAGTTAGTCTTAACATTCTTATTTGAATCAAGCATACATTCATTCTCATATTAGGCTATCTTAATTTTTTTTAAAATCATATATTTTAGCAATACTTGCTTGTCCTGATTATTTTCATGGGTGATGCCACTATATATGGATTCCATTTTGGTGATTCATTTCAGATGGCAGACGCAAGAAAGAGGCAAAGGCACGCGGTTCCTTCTTTCTTCCATCTCCTTTGCCATTTCAAGTTTCAAACAGTCTTGGAGTACAGCAGTGAGATCAGAAGATAATAGCTGAGAAAGGAAAACAGGCAGAGCAACGAAGAAAGGAGAAGGAGAAAGAGACAAATCCCAATATTAATATCTCTGCCTCCATAATTAATAAAGACAAGCAGAAATAAGGGTTCATTAAGAGAGTGAGATTCAGAACTGAGCTAAACTAAAAACATGAGTTCGACCTAGCCCCTGCAATTCATAACTTGATTCTAGTACTTTTGAGAACCTATAACGACAAGGTTCATCAATATTCCATGCGACGGCGGTAAATGTTATTTTTAGAACAACTTATGAAACACGCAGTGTTGTTACGCTTATTTTCCTATTTATCATTTCCCTTTGAACGCCGGAAAGTATTAGTTTTTTTTTTTTGTCCTTTTTTGCGCAACGCTTATACATATATTGGACTTATCTGAAATTTTCATATTAAAAAATTTTGGATTTTGCTAGAGGTGCGTTGGGATTTTGCATATGGGTTTGACTTCCGAAAACCTAGACAACCCGTCATGGCAGTACACTAATGTTGTTAAATATAATTAAGTTTCTACAAAAATTATATATCTGCTTTTTAAATATATTTTTCAAAAAAAAATTACGTGTGCATAGTATTTTCTTACCTATTTTCTTACCAACTATTTCTCTACATATTTGATATATATCTATCATATATTTATTGTTCATGTCATATACTACTATCCATTTTACACATCACATATTTTTATTTTTCATTTTTACTTGACAATTTGCCTCTATCATTTAGTTGGCATATATTTAGAGCCAAAAAAACGAGCCAAGCCCGTTGGGCTGGCCCATTTAAACCCTGAAATTATGAGGACTAGGTTTGAAATTTTTCTCCTCAAATAAGAAATAAGCCATGGAGGGCCGAGGGCTTAAAAGGGCCAGTCCTAGAGGGTCAAGGATAGTCCTGTTTAGGCCTTCTTATAATTTTTTTATTTTTTTAAATTTTTTATATAATTCTAATATTATTAATTTTTTACATTGTTAATAATATTTCAAATATTCAGTTATTATTATCATTTTAAAATTAAATTTTATAGAATGATTTGATTTATTTAGTTTTAGACAATAATTTGTCCAATTAAATTTTTAAAAAATGGGTTAATTTGGACTTTAATAATGATTTGATTTATATTATATCCATTGATATTTTTAAACTATATATATATATTTGATAATAGAGTATTTTTATACTCATATAACTTGTGATTCTATAATTTGAATTAGAAATTCATGGGTTTCAACAACAATGTTTCTCACATTAAAGTAAAATAATAGTTAGATTGTAAAATTTAAAAGTAAAATTCCTGTAAAGAAAAAAAACTTGATATTTTTGTTACGAAAGAAAAGCATACTTTTGAAGAAGAGTAATTGATTATAGTGATGATGAAGTATCAAAAGATTAATAATAGTGTTTATTTATTGTACAATTGCACTATAAATAAAACTTTTGGATGTTATTATCTTGTTAATAGATGTTTTAGATGTTCTTGGATGTTGATGGATATTTATATATGATGATATTTTGTATTTATGACTTAATTTTATTCGTATTTATGTCTTTATTAACAATTCTATTGGTTTATTTTTATTTTTTTATAAAAAATATGAGAAATATAAAAAATAACATTTTTTTTCTTAAACAGGCCAAAAGGCCGCGGGCCGGCCCTAAGTCCTATGATTTAAGGGCCGGACCTAGCAAATTGGGATATTTTTGAAATTTGAACCCTGGAGAGCTGGCCCTTTTAAACCTACCAGCCCTGAAGGGCCGGCCCTGATTCTCACCTCTACATATATTAGAGGTGAAAGCCTCATTTTCTTTTAAAATCAATCATCAGTCATGATATCTTTCTAAAGTTTTTAACCTCTAGCAACTTGTAATACTTTTGCTTGATTTGTTCTGATCATTATTTAATCTTTATGCAGTATATTTAATTTCTATGTTTGCTGCGACATCTTTTTCCCCTTCATTGGAATAATTACCAGTTATAATTATCATCAAAGCGAGACTGATAATGAAAATCGAAATATGCCTAACTATTAAAAAAAAACAGAGAGAGAAGTTATGGATTCATAAACGCAGGTGCAAGTGTTAAATTGAGAGCTTCGAAATGTTATTGTTCTTAATTAACGTAGAATAGTACTCTGCACGTATACATTAATGGGAACATGTTTCTAAGTAAATGAAAAGTATGAATTGTCTCAAAATGACTCAGTCATAATTATGTAACATTTATTTTAATAAAAATTATATTATAAACTTTTGAATTGTGTAATTGAAGAAGGAAAAATCCCAAGCAAATAAAAAAGAGAAACATATATTTTGAGGACGCAAGGTTAAGTTAATTCACTCAATTACTTATATACTTTGAATGAGAATTATGATTTTCCCTTTGTGACCT